ACCCATTCTTTCACCCACCCATCAACCCCCCCATCTATCCATCCAACCATCCACCCATCCATTCATCCGTGCATCCGTGCATCCACACACCCACCAATCTTTCATTCACCCTTGTTTCCATCCATTCATCCATCTTTCCATCCACCCATCCACCCATCCGTTCATCCATCCACCCACCCACCCATCCGTTCATCCATCCACCCACCCATCCATCTGCCCTCTCATTCATTCAGCCATCTACCCATTTATCCACCCTTCCATCCATTCATTCACTCATCCATCTACCCACCTTCTGATCCCTCCACTTATCTACCCACCCTTTAATCCATCCATCCACCCATCTATCCAGCCATCCATTTATCCCTCCATCCACCCACCTGCCCATCCATGCACCCCTCCCATCCATCCATCCATCCATCCATCCATCCATCCGTACATACATACATATATGCATCCACCCGTTGATGTACACTGAGACTCTTCTGAGTACACCAGGGTGCTGTGCTGAGTGCAGGGATATGGGGACAAAGGGTGAGTGAAGTGGTCCCCATTCTCTGAGAATGCACAGTCCCCTGAGGAACCAGATCCTTCCACAAGCTGGTCCAACATGAGGTCATCTGAGATAAGCCCCGTAGCCCAGCAGGAACTCCTCCACTCACACCACCCAACCCCAGGCCCTTTTTGACTCTGACCCCAGCCGACCTGGGAAGAAGAGAAGCAATGGGACAGATCCTGGCTGCACGTCTTCCGTGTGCTGGGCATTCACGCGCCCTCTCAGGATGGGCCTGATACACTTTGCTTTTCTGATCTGGGGCTCTCCACCAGGGCTGCATGTCAGAGTCTCCTGGGAAACACTGGTTATAAGTGGCCTCTGTTGTTCAGGAGCGTGGCCCAGGTGTGGACACTTCTCTAGGTGACTGGGATGTGTAGCCAGTTCTGAGAGCCGCTTGCAGGACCACAGCCACCCCAGCACAGGTGTGGAGGACACGCAGGGCAGGGGTGTTGCTGGTCACCCTAAGACCCCCTGAGGGGTCTTAGGCTTTCGTTCTGCATTTCCTCTGCCCAGGCTCCATGGTGACCGTTTGCAGATGGAGAAACCTGTGCAGAGAAGACAGACAGTCACCAGGACCACCTGGTGGCTAAGAGGGGACATTGAAGCCCATCCCCATGCATTGCAGGGTCTAGACCCCGATGCTTGGCTGTGAAACCTCCTCTCCCTTGCAAACCCCCCTGGGCAGGGCTACAATTCCATGTGGAGCTGCAGACGGTGGGTTTGGGATCCCGGCTGCCGGTGCTGCTCTCCGGGGTCCTCCCGTACTAGCCTGGCAATTCACTTTGTCTCTGCACCTCAGTTTTATTAGCTGGGAAAGGAGGAAGTGTCCACTCAATGAGTGAGTGTCTATAAAAGCAGGGAGCACGGTGGGCTCAAATATACTGCTTTTATTCTAGTGTCACAAATGTCCCTAAAATCTCCCCATCTCCTAGGGACCTCTTGCCCACCACAGACGCCCTCAGATCTGGCACCTACTGCCAGAGCCCCCACCTTTATATTGGCAAGTTCCCCTGTCGCTTGTTAGGGCTCTAGGCTCCAGCCCTGCAGAACCTGAAGTGAGAGTGATTGGCAGCTGTCATTCAGCCCCAAGTTGAATGACAGGGATGAGAGCTCTGCAGAGGGTTGGAGGTAGGGTGAGAAGGAAGCAGACGGGACAGGAGCTGCCCTTTTTTTTTTCTTTTCTTTTCTTTTTTTGAGACAGGGTCTTGCTCTGTCACCCTGGCTGGACCACAGTGGTGTGATCTTGGTTCACTGCAGCCTCAACCTCCAGGTTCAAGGAATTCTCCTGCCCCAGCCTCCCACATAACTGGGACTACAGGCATGTACCACCATGCCTGGCTAATTTTTTTTAAATTTTTTGTGGAGAGGGTTTCACTGTGTTGCCCAGGGTGATCTCGAACTCCTGGGCTCAAGCAGTCCTCCCACCTCAGCCTCCCAAAGTGCTGGGATTACAGGCATGAGCCACTGCGCCTGACCAGGAGCCCACTCTTTCTCAGGTCTTAGAGGAGGTGGAGGAGCAGGGGGTGGCTGGGAAGATGGTGCAAGTTGGCGAAGGTTCTAATCAAATATTTATCAGCAAATTCATCTCCCCCGTGTCTGCAGGGCCCTCACGCTGCGCCTTCCACTTTCTCTTCACTCCCTTGCTCCTGTTTTCCTGATTTTGCCTCTGGCCATCCCGGGTGCTACATATTCTCCACCCCTTCTGGGTGCCCCGACTCCCCTTCCCTCTCCTCCTCTCTCATGGATCCACCCCTTCCCACTGGACTCGTCACCGACACGTTTGCTAACAATGGACGATGGGGCCTCGCCAGCTATTTTGGAGCAATGAGCCGGGAACCTCCCGCGAGTGTGTATGCGCGGACATGTGTGTGCTTCCCTCCCGTGGCTCAGGAGCTTGAATGTCGCCCCAGTTTCAGAGTCAGCAGAGAGAGGGAAGGAACCAGCTGGCTTTGCGGAGGGATGGGGATGGGAGGAGGACAGCATTTCTGCTCCTTAGGTTCCCACTCAGCGAGTCTGTCGCAGGGTGACGAGCACCGAGACGGCCCCCGCTGCAGAGCCCAGGGACGGCCGGCCCTGGAGGCTTCAGGGAGCAGGGCACAGCTGGGTTGCCCAGGCTCCACCCTTCCAGCTGGCCACACCCACCCTAGGTTGCTCGGCCCCTGGGCAGAGGGTTTGGGGCCTCTAAATAGAAGGAGGGGTGGCCCGGTCTGAAGCAGAACACCCAGTCTGGGACCATCCCTTGGGGCCACCTCCCTGGTGCAGCCAGGCCCCTTACAGCCCCCAGCGCTGTAACAATGGTTTGGCATCTGGGCCATGGTTTCCTGAAGCTTTCCGTTCCCGCTGGACTGCAAGCCCCACCAGCAGGGAGCAGGGGCTGTCGGGGTTGCTGCCAACACAGCCCCTTCCTTGGCATGGGCCTGGCATACCCCAGGTACCCAATCAACAGTTGTTGGGTGGATCTGTAGGAACTGAATGAAGGATGCAGAGGACAGGCCAGGAGTGGGGGAGGCAGAACAGAGGTGGACATGCCAGGTCCACCCGTGCGGGGAGCATGGGCACATGAGATCCACCTGTGCGGGGAGCATGGGCACATGAGGGGCTGGCCCCTCCTTAGCCGGGGGAGGCACTGCCCGGAGGCTGAGAACACAGGAGCCAGGCAGAGGGGGATGTGTGGGTGTGGAGGGAAGCGGGAGAAAGACCGCCCTGCGAGGGCAGCCCCCAGCCTCTGCCTACACCTAGTAGGTGCTCACTGAAGTGTGTGGTGTGAACAAAGTGTACGTGGCCCCGGGCGATGGGAGTATGGGGTGGAGGCACAGGTGAAGGAGGTGAGCAGCCACTTCCCTGCTGGGCATTCCTCCTCCCCACAGCAAACCCCACCTTCAAGAAGGGTGTAGACTCCTGGCTGTCCCTGCCGGGGCGGCTGTGAGTGTCAGACCCGTCCACATCTGAGTAGGGGTCCTAACACACGGGTGGGCTGCTCCAGGCAGAGGCGGCATGTGTCCTTCCAGGCAGCGAGGCCTCCTCACCGCAGACTCCTGGGGGGCGAGTGCCTTGCCTGCTCAGGAGATCCTGGGCCCCAGGCCGTGTCTGCAGTGGAGGAGGCCGGAGCCCCTTTCCCTCTGCCGCCTCCGCCTGCGTCTTGCTCTCTGGGGCTGTGAAAGACCCCAGTCCTCCTCTTGGGGTCATAAGGTCTTCCCACCAGGGCTGCTTCTCAGGCCCTGAGTCAGTGGTTCTCAGTGCACGCAGATTGCCGGAGGAGGCCTGGGATGCGCCCTGGAATCTGCATTGCCCACCAAAAAGCTCCCAGGTGCTGCTGATGCTGTGGGCCCAGGCCGCAGCCACTGCCCTACGTTGCTTCTGGGGTCCTGCCCAAGGGCCTGGGCTTCTAAGAGCCTCTGAGAGTGGCTGCGGGAGCAGTTTTCCCCGCTTGAGACAGCAGGCCTTTGAGGGGGCACAGACAGATCTTCCAGAGCTCCTCAGAGATCCTTGAGACAGAGACTGGAACCCTTCCTGCCCCCCCTCCCAGCACACCTCACTGTCATGGACATCAGTGGCAGGGGAAGCAGGAGGCCGAGTTCAGCTTCTACACAGTCACTTCCAGGGATCCAGGTGCGGGCTGGGCAGTGCCCTCTCGCTCCTGCTTTCCAATGACAAAACCGAGGCTTAAAATCATTTGAAGACGAAGTTGCGCCCTTGTTGCCCAGGCTAGAGTGCAGTAATACGATTTTGGCTCACTGCAACCCCTGCCTCCCAGGTTCAAGTGATTCTCCTGCCTCCGCCTCCCGAGTAGCTGGGATTACAGGCGCCCACCACCACGTTCAGCTACTTTTTATATTTTCAGTAGAGACGGGGTTTCACTATGTTGACCAGGCTGGTCTTGAACTCCTGACCTCAGGTGATCCACCTGCCAAGGCTTAAAATTCTTAAGGAGGTGGGAAGCAGGTAGGTTGGCGCTAAGAGGGGAAGAGCAGTAGTCCTCGCGCTGGTGGAACGTTCTGTGTGTTGTGTGAATCCACGTCAGTATCCTGCTGGTGGTGGTTTTACGGATGTTACCGTGAGGACCCTGGGCACAAGCTGTACAGATCACTCTGTTATTTCTTACAGCTGCGTGAGCCTACAGTTATGTTAAAATGGTTAACTTTTTTAAAATCAGATAGTTTAAAAAAAACCCTTCAGTTGTTCTTGTACCCAGGTCTGACAAGGCTGAGTCAATGGGCTGAAACCCAGCGGCATCTGACTCCAGAGCCAGACTCCCCGGCACTCCCAGCGCGGCACCCCCTCCTGCTCTGAGCTGGTGCCCATGCCGGGGAGCCCCCCATGGAGGGGCCGGGGAAAGGTTGCTGAAAATACTGCTGGAGAAGCCCTGCTCAGCCACAAGGCCCCATCCTCAGGGGCTCCGGGAAGGGGACAAGATTCTAACCAGGCCTTGCTCTCTCTCCTTCCACAGAGCGATCAGGACGCCACGGCTCCGCCTGAAGCAATGGCCCAGCCCTACCCCCCTGCCCAGTACCCCCCTCCGCCACAGAACGGCATCCCTGCCGAGTATGCCCCGCCCCCGCCGCACCCCACGCAGGACTACTCCGGCCAGACCCCGGTCCCCTCAGAGCATGGCATGACCCTGTACACACCAGCACAGACCCACCCCGAGCAGCCAGGCTCCGAGGCCAGCACACAGCCCATCGCCGGGACCCAGACAGTGCCGGTAAGGGCCCCCACGACCCCAGGCCCAGCCCTGGAGCTTCAGGGAGGAGCGCCCACCCAGCAGAAGGGTGGCCCAGGAGGGCATGAGGTATACCACATGGGTGGGGGACCTGGGCAGGGCCTCTGTGTGTGGAGGATGAGCCTTTTACGGGGCTCCTGGGCCAGAAGTTACCCCCAGCAAAGGCACTTCCAGCCCCTGCTCAACCCCAGCACCAAGGAGCTTTGTGATGAGCAGGCATTTGGAGGGACGGCCGGGCACTGAGGGGTGGGGTGGCAGCCACCCTCCTCCAGCCGCCTGGGCCTGGCTTCCCTGCTTCGAGCAAACACTCACCCAGCTGGGAGGTGTCCTCACTGCCAGAGACCTGTTAGTAGAAAGTGAAGGAGACGGGCGGAGGGCAGAGGCAGAGCCGCGGAGGCGGCCCAGGGCCCTCTGAGCTGTCTCGGGTTGCAGGCCCTCCTATCATTTCTAATCGCTTGTAATCTACCTGCTTGGCTGGCCTCCAATCAGATAGCTTCAATTATGTGGTTGTAATGCAGCTCCCAGGCAAAAGTGCTGAGCCCTCACTTCTCACATTTCCTGAGAGCAAAGAGAGCCGGCAGGGAGTGGCCAAGCCGCCGGCCTGGAGTGGGCTCTGGGTACAAAGACCAGGCCCTGACTCTACCCACCCTGCAGAGCCCCGGCCAGTCTATTCCTTTTCTCTGGTCCCCTCCACTGAGATCTCCATGTGCCTCCCCTGCCCCTGCTCTGGGGCTCCAGGTTCATCCAACTGTCCCCGCTGGCCCTGTCCCAGCACTGGATGTGCTAGCTGGCGGGGCTGGGCAGGAGGCCAGAGCTCTCTACACTGCCCAGGAGCGGCACCGCCCTGGCGGCTCCCAATCGGGGTCCCTTCCCAACTGCCTCAGCCCTCCCGCAGTCCAGCCTGGCTCCCAACGTGCTGTGTGGATGCAGATAGGAGCCTTCTCTTGGCGCGTGCCTGGGCAGGGGCTTCCTCCAGCGTCACCCAGGCCTGCTGTGGAGAGAGCCCACCCAGCCGCCTCCTGGGCTGGACATGACCCTCATCTGGCACCCAGGTGGTGCCCTTCCTCCCTGCTTGGAGCCCCGCCCAGCCAGAATCTGCCCTGAGGCCATCAGCCTTTCCAGTGCCCCCCAGCATCCTGATACCCAGGGTTCCTACAGCCACAGGACACACATGGAGAAGGCCAGGCCCTGGGGTGGTAGAAGTGGGGGCCAAGTCATGCTTCCCCGGCTGCTCTGGTTCTGATTCATCAAACCCACGCATTGTGTGTGCTTAGAAAAGAAAGAGATGATCCCGGGAGCCAAACCGGGTTCACCGTAAACAAGTCACGCTAGAGCAGGCTGGGTCTCTTTCTGACTGACTCCAGTAGACACAGCTCATCTGCTCAGACCTCTGACAGCCACCTTATAGACAAACGAGGGGGTCTGTCATGGTGAGCCTCAGGGGTTCGTCCCAGAAGAAAACCAGAAGCAGGAGGGTCAGATGCACAGATAACACAGAGTGGGGACGGACCAGGCGCTCTAACTGAACAACAGAACCGAGGCCAGACGCCTCCTGGACACTGGAGCCACCAAACACGGCCTACCCAGGACACACATAAAGTCTTCCTTCACTCGGCAGACATTTGCTGGGTACCTGGTATGTGCCTGGCACTGAACTGGCACTGAGGCTACAAAGAAGAAATGACCCAGCCCTGTCCCCTGGTTCCTGCCACGCAAGGACAGGAAAGTCAGAAATAGAGGCTGGCTTGGGCCTGGCTTGCCCGTGAGGGTCCACGGACCATGGAGAGAAGCCCCGAGTAAGCAGCAGCTGCTGAAAAGGCGAACGCTGCATCTGATGAAGAACTCTCCGACTAGGAGGATGGGAGTCTCACCACCCAGTCAGCAGCCTCCAGAGCTCCCAGGAAGCGTGTCCAGGCGGGAAGCACCCAGAGCCCAGGGGATGGCAGATGGCCTGGACCTTCCTTTCTTCAGGCTGGGGTCTCTAAGGTCTGGCAGAGGGTTCCTGGTTGTGGTCTGCAGATCTTCCATCCAAGGTCCCAGAGGAGAGAGTCATTCTCCATGACCTGCACCCAGGGCGGGGCTGCCGGCAGAAGTCACGGCGTCGGCGTGGTGCCCCAGGAAGAACAAAGACCTGGGCCGCCCCGGAGGCTGCGCGCTCCCCACCTTGGAGTGTTTGTTCACACGGAGCCTCCCCACCTTGGAAGCCAGCTGGAGAGGGTGTTCCAGATTCCAGGAGCTCCTTCCTCCCAGAGGCTGCCCAGCACTCACAGCTGAAGGCCGAACGCTCCCTGCTGGCTCAGGTGTCCCCGGGCCCTGTCCCTGGTCATCAGCAGGGCCCTTTCAGCTCACTCGAGCCTCCCCTTGGTCCTGCCCCAAGCAGCCTGGTATTGGGGTCTAGATCTTCGAAATAGGAAGTGGGGTGAGTTCAGAGCTTTGGTCCAGATCCGCCTAGGTCAGAGTGTCTCCTGGAGCACTCGAGGGCCCATGTGCAACCACCAAGTACCCTGGTCTCTTCCTTCCCCACCATTCCTGAGGTGCCACCCAGGGAACCCCCCCGAGAGCCTGCTGCCCAGGTTGGCACCAGGTCAGGGCTTGCAACCTCCGGATGCTCCCTGGACCCAGACGCCGCCCAGAGGCCACCAGGGCTTCCCGCCCTCTCCCCCAAGGGGACTTCCTTCTGCTGGTGAGCATGGGCTGCCCTGGCAGGTGGCGTGGCCAGGGCCAGTGGAAAGGGGGAGCTCGGAGCACCTGTCCGGCCCCCATATCACCCGCCCCACTGGTAGCTGTGGCAGAGCTGGCCCCTAGACAGCAGGGTGCTGTCCAGGCCCGGGGCCCACACAGGCAGCCTATTCCGTTCTAGGACCTGGGGCTGATGGCGTCAGTGGGAGAGAACAGTGGCCCCTGCAGCCTATGCCTCTACCTCCCCGTCTCCTCCACCCCAGGACCCCCAAAGACAGGCTGGGCCCCAGCTCCGGAAAGACTGCCCTGGAATTTCTGGAACCACGAGGCCTCTTCCTGCTCCTCCTCCCCTCAGGAGGGTTTCCAGCCGGGAATTGGTGGGAAGTCTGTGTTCAGCCAACTCAGGGCCTTTCCCAACACTGCCACCACCCAGGTGGGATGCACCCCTCAACTCCTAGTCACAGAAGCACAGCTGACCCTGCAGAGAGAAACATGGCGCTCCTGGGGGCCACCGGTCCCTCACCGCCACCGAGACTTCCCACAGAAGGCAGAGCGTGCGCTGATTTGTGTGGTCTTGATGCCCTCGGGTGGATCCCGACCACCTCCAGTGGCTTTCTGGCTACATCATTCCCCAGGAAGGCTCGTCCCCTCTGAGCAGAACACCTCTTTTCACCGTCCAGAGATACGGAGGCTCCTTCCTGGTAGGGCAGGGGCGTCTCTGCTCATCCGTGATGGGAAGAGACATGTGACAAGAACCCACGAGGGGCACGCACACCTGCAGACACGCTCCGTTTCTCTCATTCTCACCGCGACGTCAGCTGCCTTCTCTGGACAAATGCAGCACAGGCTACAGAGTGCGATGAGGGGCTGCGGAAGGACCGGGGGACCCCATCTCACTACCCTGAGCCACCGCCAAGGTCTGTGTTCCTCAGCGGGGGTCACCGTCTGGAGCATTTATTTATTCACTCAGGGTCAGGCAGGTGCCAGCACTGTGGGCCCTTGGGGGTCACACACTGTCCTTATGCTCAGGGGACCCTCAGCTTGCTAACAGACCAGGTGCATTGGCTCACGCCTGTCACCCCAGCACTTTGGGAGACAGAGACAGGTGGACCACGAGGTCAGGAGTTCCAGACCAGACTGGCCAAAATGGTGGAACCCTGTATCTACAAAAATACAAAAATTAGTCAGACATGGTGGCGGGCACCTGTAATCCCAGCTGCTCGGGAGGCTGAGGCAGGAGAATCACTTGAACCCAGGAGGTGGAGGTTGCAGTGAGCCGAGATCACGCCGCTGCACTCCAGCCTGGGCGACAGAGCAAAACTCTGAGAAAAAAAGAGAGAGAGAGATTAGCATACGGATAGAAAATGCCAAAGCACGGAGGGTCACTGTGGAGGGCCAGCCAGGCAGAGGGAGACAGGATGAGACTGGTGTTTTCCAGAACCCACACGGGCTCCTCCACCTGCCAGAGGGGACCCCACGTGGGCGGCAAGGGCCTGATGCCTGAGGGGCCAGCACCTGCCCCACTGCCCACTGGGGATCTGGGCTCTGCACCCCTGGCTTCACTGCAGGCATAGATGCCTACGGCCAGGTTGCTGGAGGCCTCTCTGCCGGGTGACCCCAGGATGAACCTCTGTCCTCTCTGCCATCCGTCGGGCCTGAGCCTCCTCTCAGAAACTCCCGCACTTGCCCTGATCTTCCATTTGGGCCACCTCGTCTATAACTACAGGCCTCATAGTCTGGCCGAGGCTCTGTCTCCTCCGCCAGGAGCTGCAGCCCTCGGTCACTGTGTTCTTGGCTCTCACGGCTTATGGAAAGGGTGAAGGGTAGCCATGGCTGGCCACTGGCCTGAGAGAGGCAGAAGAGAGGCGATGGTCCCCAAAGCAACACCACAGTGAGGCTCAGCTGAGATGCCCCTACCCAGGCTGGGAGGTGGGAGTGGAAGAGGCGTCAGTCGGCTGGCCGCGCCACAGTGCAGAGGCCAGCAGGGGGTTTGGAATCCTGTGTTCTTCAAATGCCACGTGGGAGCCGACAGTCAGTGCCGCCGGGCTCTGAGGCAGACACTCCCAGTGGACAGGTTGAGACCACACACAGAGAACCTGTCCTCCAAGGCTGACTGGCCGCCCACTGGGGGCCCACCAAGGCGGGTCCTTGCCTGAGTGCCCAGGAGGTCTTTGGAGGAGCGAGGAGAGATGGCACTGTCGAGGAAGGGATTTCCAAAAACCGGTTCATCTTGTGTCGCAGCAGCACAGCTTGGTTCTGTGCCAACAACAGCCGCCGGGTCCCACTTGCTGTCCGGGGTCTGCCTAGGTCCACCAGACCCTGCCCAGGGCTCATTCCCTTTGCCTATCTCTGGGCCAAGCTTGGGGGGCCCAGGGGAAAGCGGGTGCAGGCTCCTCAGAGGATGTGGAGAGTGGGAGATGCTGTGTGGCAACTAGACCCCCCACCCTGAACTTGAATGGGCTGGGGAGGTGTCCATAATGGCCGGGCCAAGACAGAGCTGGGGAAAGACGCAGAAGCAGGACCCGCAGCTCAATCAGGAGGGAAGGGCGGTCCTGTTCTTCCCTCTTTCCCTGCATTTGAGAATGAGAAGCAAAGATGGTTTTTGTTTTTTTTTTTCTCTCTCTCTCTCTTTAAGTAGGGGAAAGAAAGCCTCTGAAAAAGTTGGAAAGGCAGTGGAGGCTGCTGGACCGCTACAGTCAGCGGTTGGAGAGCCCCCATACCCCGGCCCAGGGCAGCCCATGTGCAGTCACTCGTAGGGCTTACCTGCACACACGACAGTTTCACAGCCATGGAACCCACTTAGCCTCTGCCCAGGGCTGAGCAGGGATAGAACAGCTTCTTCCTCACCTGTGTCCTGGCCCCACTCATGGCTCCTCCCACTCCCACCCCATCACCCCATTCCTCCTGCCTCATCCTCAGCTGCTTCCCTTTAGGACTTTGGGGTGGATGCCCCAGCTCCCCTGGGTGGGCGCGGGGCCGGTTCCCGCCATCGTGGCCACCCTGGCGTGCTGACCACCGCCTTCTGCTGCTCAGAGGGCAGAGCTGCGTGCCCCTATCCAGGCTGGATTCCCGAATCTGGGATGACTCAGTCACCTGTACCCAAGAGCAGCAGAGGGCACAGGTGCATCCCTGTCCACTGAGGAGGAAAGACCCACGCCTATCCGGCGGGAGGGTGGGGTTCAGAACCTCCGTAAAGATCGGCGGATGTTGGGACGGTCTCGTCTTGGTTCAGGGGTGAGGTCAGCCCTTCCAGAGGTCTAGCACAGGCTTGCTTTCTGCAAGAAAACTTGGGACCAAGGAGGATGGCAGCAGAACTGGGAAACTGGGCTGCGGGGCATCTCTAGTTCCCTAGGCTTGGATGGAGGAGCCCCCTGCTTATCCCCTTGGAGCCAGAGTCAGCTGCCCTGTGTTGCTGGGGACCTGATAGACCTGATACCAGCCAGACCAGGAGTCTCTGGAGGCCTGTCGTCCACCCTCCTGGCCCTGCCAGCTGTGCCCACCACGGATGCCTCCATGCCAAAGCCCAGCCCCCACTGATGGGGGTGGCACATGTCAGGGAACCCCAAGGAGCAGCCACCCAACTTGCCCAAGCCTGGGGGCTCATGCCCTCTAAGAGCCTTGGCCACTGTCCACCTCTTGGGGTCCTGAGGGAGATGCGGGATCCACCCAAAGCCTCACGCCTTGGGAACACGCAGAGCTCAGGACACATGCCCGTCGGAATTGGGTCAGCACACCACATGGCGCGTCTGCTGAGACAGGTCCTGTAGCGCACGTCCAGGTGAGCTCCAGGACGGCAGTTCCCACATTGTCGCCGTCCCACACTGTGGGGTGTGTGCTGCATCCTCACTTCTCAACGCAGGGGACAGAGGTGCATCAGGGACATGGACACATGCTCCAGTCCTCTAGACCCCACTCCCAGCCTGCCCCACTGCCCGCGCTAGTGGCTGTTGCCAGGGAAGAAGCTGCGGTACAGCAGAGGCTGTGTCCTCTACCTCCCAGCGCAGCCCAGGAAGTGGTAACTTCCCCTCTTGGCACCTAGGGGCACCTGCTGCCCTGGAGCCTGGTCAGAGGCTTCCTGACCACATGCAGAAATGCAGGGGAGCAGCCTGTCCTTCCAGAAAGGACAACCAGGGCGGCCGTGCAGGGGGCGGCGCCAGCCGGACAGCCACTCAGGAGTCGAGGGACCAAGCTCTGGCCACTTAGCTGTAGTGTGACCTTGGCACAGCTCTGCCTCTCTGGCTCATTTCCTCTGCCATGGGCCGAGGCCTCTGGCACTGTGACCCCAGGCTCCCCGCTCACCGTCCTGACTCAGCACTCCTTTGGTGGCCCGCGACAGATGCCCTCCGGAAAGTGGCTTCAGCGGCCAGGTGCTTCGCCTGGCTGGAGATGCGTGGGAATGGCTCTCTGGGGCCTCTCGTCTTGGCTTTTCTCTTGCTCCCAGACTGGCTGCCTCTGCTCTGCAGGCCACATGGGAGACCATGCCACCAGCCTTCCATTTGTACCGACTGCAGTGTAGGCCTCTCAGGGACCCCAGTCTCCTCTACTGCCACTCCAGAAAGGATCCAGATGGCTGGAGCCAAGACCCTCCTACCTTCGGCTGGCGTCCTGTCCCAGAAGCCAGTTGGCCTCTGAGGAGGGGTTCTCTGTGTGTGGCCTCCAGCTGTCCACCGGGAGTATCAGGAGGCCCAGAGCCAAGGATTCAAATGCAAAGGGTGTATTTGGGAGATGATCTCACAAAACCCGTAAGGGGCAGCGTGGAATTGAGGCGAGAAGGCAAAGGAAGCCAATAAAAGGTACACTGTCAGCCTGCTGTTCCCATGGGCAGCTGAGCTCAAATTGCTGGAGGAAGTGTGGACAGTGAGAGCCCCTCCAAGGCACCCCGTGGGAGCTGGGGTGTGCACCCACCACCTGTGCCTGTCGCCGCCGAGGGCCTCTCCTGCACCCTGGTGCTCCTGTGCCACCCACCCATCTTGCCAGTGGGCTGAGCGGGGAAACAGTCTGCAAGGCTGGCACCTGCGGCTTGGCTGCATCCATGGAACTGGACTGTAGCGCCCCTTGGGCCTGGACCCAGGTCGTGATGAGCTAATGGCCACCTCGGAGAGTCACCCGTGCATCCACCCGGCCGATGCTGATGAAGCACCCGCCACATGTCCGGAGTTCCTGCTCTGTGGATACAGCCGAGACTCAGCCAGACTGAAGGCCAGGCTTGCCGTGAGCTCGTGGCCAGTCCACTGGAGAAGACCACGCAGGAAAAGCCTCACACAGGCCACACTGCGCTGCCTCAGGCGGCACCCCTGCCTTCTCACAGGGAGCTGAGGGCCGGGTGGCTTTTGTTTCCTGAGACCCAAGTCTTTGGGAGCCCATCTGCCCACCAGCATTTGGGTCCAAATGGAGACTAACTGTAAAGGACTGGACTCAGCCACCTCTGCCTTGGGAGAGGCTTCTGGAGGTGAACCCTAAAGGTTCTGAGTGGCAGCAGCAGGCTGGAATAAACAGGAGCATGGCGGGGATGGGGGGACACGAAGAGGCAGCACCTTCGGACAGGCGGACCCTCGGGCCGGGCTGACATCTGTCTCCAGCTCACCACTTCATCATCAGGACTTGAAAGCCAGTGGGGTCCTCGGGCCCCCAGAACTGCCTTGAGATGTCAGTGGGGCTAAGAGACCGTGGAGGTTCAGCCTCTGTGGACAGGGCTGGGCTGTGGGAGCAGGGAGCAGAGCAGGCCAGGAGGCCTTGCACTGGGATGGCGGGAGGGAGGCGGCCTCTCACCTGCACAGTTTGGGCAAAGGCCTAGAGGTGGAGCCTCTCCGTGTGAGGTGTCCCTGTGCTGTATCTCATGGAAACTGTCTGCCCAGGTTCTGCCAAGGATCCCAGCCCAGGGATGGGAGAGGCCCAGAAGGGTGGGGGAGAATCTGGCCTTTAGACCCTGCCCTCCCTTCAGCAGAGGGGATGGGCAACCCCGCACACAGAGGCAGCCTCCGCAGCCCAGTCCTCTCCCTGCAGCAGACAGACGAGGCGGCACAGACGGACAGCCAGCCGCTCCACCCCTCCGACCCTACAGAGAAGCAGCAGCCCAAGCGGCTACACGTCTCCAACATCCCCTTCCGGTTCAGGGACCCCGACTTGCGGCAAATGTTCGGGGTGAGTGTGCGCGGCCCTGCCCATCCTGCCCTCCACACCTGCCCCAGCTCCAGGGTGGCACCTACAGGCCCTGCCTTCCTGCCCACAGCTGCTCCTCCGGGTTCCCTGCCTCCCACTGCACTGGGAGCCTCCAGGGCCCCAGGATTCCCTCCCTCCTGGGCCCAGCCCCGACCTGACCTGAACCTGCTGGGAGGGTGGCGGGGAAGAGGAAGGCCTCGAGCTGAGGAGTAGGCGGATCTGTTGTGGCTGCCCCGCAAACCCCACTCCTCCTGCTCCCAGCTAGAAATTCACCCATGGTCCCCAGACCACCTGATCTCAGGGGTTTCCTAGAGTGCCTTGGGGCCTCGCAGCCAGTTTGGTTATGACCACCCTATTCCCACATTCTGGCTCTTGTCTCCTCACAAGAGGGTACCTGGAGGGGCACCTCGGCCTCCCACAGAGCAGCAGCCCCAGCCCTGGCCTCTCCTGTGTGCCTTGGGGCCGGGCAGTCAACCTCTCTGGGCCTGTGTCCCCCGGGCCCCCGGGTGGGGAACTTGGAACCGGATGCACAGTCGATGGGAATTGAAGCCCGTCCTGGACTCCGTGGGCCTGTTCCGGGTTTTGCACTGTGGCCTTCAGCCCTGGTGGTGGGGTCACTGAGAACGTGCAGGGCTGCCCCGGGTCCTGGTCACTTGGTTGTTGTTGGACTTGAATGCGCCTAGCAGGTGTTGGTGCCTGCGGGGGCTGGGGCTGCTGAGTGGTGGGGGAGCAGCAGCAGCTGGGCGGCTCAGCCGGGCTCCCAGGCCTGCCCTGGCCACAGAGGACCACGCAGCCCAGCCACGTTTCTTCCCTCCCTTCAAACTCCTCTTCCCCCTGCCTGCCGCAGTGCCCACCCCACCTCTGCTGTGCAGGTAGACAGCCTCTGGCTCCTGAATCCCAGCCTCTCTCCTCCTGCCACCCTGACCCAGCTGGGATTTGCCATGCAGACTGGAGGCACCTCTGGCAGCCCCAGGGTGGAGAGGTTCCCCTCCACCTACCCCCTGACGTGACCCCCAGAAGTCCACTCCCTGTCTCAGGATCCCAGCCTGGTTGGATTTGGAGTTTAGACTTACTGGAGGGCTGGCATGACTTAGAATCATCAGATGGCAAGGACTCTGTCCCTTCTTGACCCTGGGTCCTGAGCGAGCGGCCAGAGTTCTCTGGGCCTGGGACTGCCCCTTAATAGCAGCTGACATTTTGGAGCTCTGGCTGGCTGTCCTCAAAGGATGGCATTTTGGAGCTCTGGCTGGATGCCCCCTGCAGGGGACCTGTTTACATACACTCAGTCCCTGCAGGACGGGGGCACCATCCCGTCGGCTCCTTGGGTCCCTACAGGACAGGGACACTGTCCCCCATCAGCTTCCTGGCTCTCTGCAGAACGGGGGGGTACTGTCCCCTTTTCAGCACCTGGCAGAGTTGAGATTTCATTGTTGTCTGGCCCCACTGGGGCTTGCTGCACCCCCCACCTCCAGGGCTGTGTGGAGGTGACTAGGAAACCCCCATCAGTTGCCTGCACTGCAGGCTTCAGGATGGGCCCTAGGGACCTCAGAACTGTTGTTTGGGGCTGTTCACATACCAGTGAGAGACCAGGCTGCCCCATGGGGACCGTGGCCAACAGTGGGAGGGAAGAAGGCAACTAGAGCATCATGGCCCAGCTGGCCTGAGCGTCCTGCACAGGCCGGGCCTGGGTTCAGGTCACTGTTGCCCAGCACCCCACTCCAGCACAGCCCCACGACAGGCTGTGCAGGGTCCTGGGGGCCTGGGCAGAAGACCCTCCGCATCCCTCTTTCCCTCACACCCTCCACCCCATTTTCCCCCTGCCCAGCCTTCTCCACATCTCAGGGACGCCTGAGGGTCCCATTTCCCAACCAGGGGTCCTGACCTCCAGTGGCCTCAATCTCCATTTCCTGACCCCAGCACTTTCTCTTCTCTGTGGCACTTTGTCCCTAATGGGCACTCATGCCCCTCTGCCTCCCCCGTCCCCCATCCTTTGGAGAAGGGTCTCAGAGCAGACCTTTACCCTTTAGTGTGAATTAGGGGTGGTGGTCATGCCTTGGGTACCCTGTCCCCACTGTAACCCTTTCCAAGTGGTCAAGTCCTAGCAGGGTGAGGAGGGGACGCTGGTGATGTGCCCATCCCCAGCTGGCAGCTGGAGTTAGTGTCCTGGCAGGAAAAGCTCCCCGAGGCAGAAGGGAGATACGGGCCTCTAGGAGAGGCTGGGAGAGCTGTCCCTACCCCCACACCACACCAAGGACCCTCTTGGTGATGCCTTGGGCACTCTATCCCCACCATCGCCCTCTCCAAGTGGCCAAGTCCCAGCCGCTCCATGGCCAGAGGTGGGAGGGGTCCCAGGGCTCCTTTCCCAGTCTGGGAGCCCAGGGCAGAGCACAGGGACCAGCGTCTCAGGAGTGGAGCGGGCGGCCGGGCCAGCGGTCTTAACCCGCACTTTCCTGTCTGCCCCACTCCCTCTTTGTCTCTGTCTCTGCAGCAATTCGGAAAAATTTTAGACGTGGAGATCATTTTTAACGAGCGGGGCTCCAAGGTGGGTGCCGCACGGAGCTGCCGCCTTACAGCGCCGGCTGTAGGTCCCGCCAGGCTAACGTGTGAAATGTGCGTTTCCTTCCTGGAGAGCTTCGCGCCCGAGGACCCCTGAGCGACACGGGTGCTTGTATTCCCCGCTCTTCCACCCCCACCCGCCCCGCCCCCACCCCAGCTGTCTGTGCTGTTGCTGCCGCTGCCGCTTTTTCTTTCTGAGCCACCAGGACCTCTTGCCTGCACCCCAGGGCCCTGGGCCCCTGGGCCCGGGCCCCAGCCCACTGAACGCTCACCCCAGGGGACCACTGGCCTGGAGGCTTGAGGGAGGGGCTGCAGAGAGGGCAGGCCGGGGAGGGCGTCCAGCGGAGACAAGCCCTGCTGCCCTTCCGGGAAGGCACGACCCTCTGCCCTGGGCTCCGAGGGTGGAGGTGGGGGGGCTGCCCCTGCAGGTCCTGTAGCCCAGCCTGGGCCCCCCACCCCAAGGTGGGGTTCAGGGGGCCGGCCTGGCCTGTGGTCAGGTATGACGTCTCTCAGGTGGCTTTGGCCTGTCCCTGTGGAGATGCCAGGTGATCAGCTCAGGCTGGGCTCAGGCTGGGCCAGCAGCTGCCCCCCTGGGGCCCATACCCCTCCTGGCATCCTGCCGGTGGCCCTAGGACAGACCACTGGGCTGCCTGCGTCTCCGCCTCAACTCACCTGACTCAACCCCTTCTCTCTCTCCCCCCCCTCCCCTGCCCCCCCAACTCCTCTTCTTCCTCCTCTTTCTCACCCTGTATCCTCCTCTCCGTGCCTGTCCTTCCCTCTCCTCTGCTCACAGGGTTTTGGGTTTGTAACTTTTGAAACTAGCTCAGATGCTGACCGAGCCCGGGAGAAGCTGAATGGGACGATCGTAGAGGGACGGAAAATTGAGGTGCTCAGATAAGTGTGCTGCGGCAGGGATGCCCTGAGATCGCCCACCTGCCCCCCAGCTCACCCAGCCCCGCCACTGCCGCACCCTTCAGAGAGCCTGGCCAGGGTCCCCTGGGGTGGGAGGAAGGGTTGCACTAAGGCCAGAGTAACTGGCTGCAGGCCAAGCCCTGTCACCTGTCACTCCTTCAGGCTCACCTGAGGTCCCCTCTCCCCTGCCTCTTCCCTGCTTTTCCTAGGAGAGGCCCTGTCCCCAACCAGACAGTGAAAGAGCCCCAGAAATCCTGTATTTGGGGCTTGGCAGCTTCAAGGACCATGGCCAGTACACCCGGGCAAGGAGCCATTAATCCCCAGACCCTGCTCACCATGGAGCAGTGACTGTCCCCAACCTGTCCCCACGCGGCCCAGTCTGGGCCCTGCAGTTTGCTCCCACCTTGGCCCCACTCCTCCCCTTGTTTGGGTAGAAGCAGAGTCAGCAGTGGCAATGGCCAGGGCAGAGGAGGAGACCAGGCCCCAAGGAGGAGCAGGGAGAGGGAGCTCTGGGTCCCTCCCTGACACCCACCCCGCTCTGTCCCCTGCTTCCCAGAGGCCCAGAGTGCCAGTGGGCTGTGTTCCCTTGCTGCGGCCTGGGTATCTGGAGCTGGGTCCCCCAGCAGGCAGGGCAGCCAAAGGGTGGCTGGAGGAGGGCTGGGGCGAGCCACCAAGGCAGAACCCTCAGGCAGGAGGTGAAGGGCGTGAGAGGAGGTTTCCAGACTTCCGAAGGCACTGGCTTGGCCAGGCTGCAGCCCCATGCCCTCAGGGCTCACACTGAGGACACAGGGGAGGCAGAACAGCCCAGACCCCTTCCTGGGGCCCATCACCCCTGCTGTTCTCGACTCTCTTTCACACACGCCTCATCCTCCCCATCCCAGGCTGCCCCTGGACAGCCTCACCCGGGCATATGTGTGGAAAATAGGTGACTTCGTGCCCAGAGCCCCTCCCTGTCAGCCTCATCCTCCAGGGGCACAGGGGCCCCATCAGAGAGCTCTGTGCTCTGCAACATTGAGGACTCTGGCCTCGGGGGAGGGGGGCATCATCCAGGAAGGGTATGAGGCCATCTTGGTGCCCATGCCTAGCTAGGCCTTGGCAGCCTCAGGGAGGAGGGGGCGTCCTGAAGTCTAGCCTCTTAGCTGGTTCTGGTTGGAGAACACTTTGTGGAGAGTCTACCAGGGAGCTTCTCCAGCTGTCCTGGGGTGCCTGGGAGTCTGGGGCTGGGTTTATGGGAACAGCCATGTGAAGAATACAGGCCAGCAGGCCTGGGTCTGGGGTCCTGGGCCAGGCGGGGCTTTAGCCCGTGCTGGGAGCAGTGGGGGCCGAGGCTCCCGGAGGGCAGGCAGCACGGTGGAGAGAGGAGGCCGGGGCGGGAGGCGGGGCGGGGAGGAGTGGCTGGTGGGTCTTCCAGGAGGCTAATCGTCCCTCTTCCTCTCTTTCCTTCCCTCTCCGGACAGGTCAATAATGCCACGGCCCGAGTCATGACCAACAAGAAGACGGGGAACCCCTACACCAACGGTAAGGGGCTAGGCACCCCCACCAGGCTGCCGGGGTCACTGGTCGGGCAGAGGCCCTGGGAGAGCTGAGGCTTCTGGATCCTAGGCAGCCCCCATCCCCAGTGTCCCAGCCCTGGGGCTGCTGCTCTGCTCCCGGTCAGAAGCGGGTGGGGCAGAAGAGGCAGGAGGAGAGCTGGGGGCCACCCACCCCACTCATGGCCCCGTACAATCAGCCATCGCTGGAGTCTCGCTTTCCCAAGCGTGCCTGGCCCCCAGAGGCGACGCGTGCAGGCTTCTGACACAGTGGGACAGCAGTGCCTTCCTGGGTTAGGACGGACTTTCCCCCAGGGCCTTGAGTTCGAAGGCTTCTGTGCTGAGACCTGCTGCACCAATTCCCGGTGTGAGCAAGCTCACGGAGGGCAGCAGGGGCACGGGGGGCCTTGGGTGAGCTTCTAGACCTCTCTGAGTTCCAGTCTCTTCAGCTGCAAAACAGAAATAGTGACACCATCCCCCAGAGCTGCTGGTTGAGAAATGACACCTCTAAGCGCCATGAGCAAGGGCCCGGGGGGAGGTGCTCAGATTTCATAGAATGTGATTACAGGAACTGTCTTCCTGGGGCTTTTCAAGCACGGCGGGGGCACTGAGGCCCCAGGCTGAGCCCTGCTGTCCACAACGTGGGGAGACTGAGGCATCTTGTGTGTGTGCACCACACTGCAAACAGAGGTGGCCGGTCTCCCTTGGAGATGGATCTGCCAACGCTAAGTGCTGGCTCTGGAGAAGCGGAGGGGACCACTGGTGGCCACTGCGAGTCTTAACTCCATCAGGCGAGGGGCCTGCTTTGAGCGGAGCAGGTGTGTGTTGGGGGCCTCGGCTCATTCCTGCCAGGGAGCAGCTTCCCACTCGGAGCCCTTAAAAGCCTCAGCGCTGCTGCTGGACAGGATGGGTCTCCCTGTTGCCGTGGACTCTCAGACGGTGTCACCCCCAGCCTCTCATGGCCCCCCACCATGTGATCGGCCATACGTGGAGTCAGGTGACGACCAGCACGGAAGCCTGGATAGGACTGCCCGATCCGCCACCTCGCTCCCCAGCTCTTCTCCTGGTGTCCGATGCTGGGATGGCGCCGGGACTCTGGCCTGGCCCAAGTTTGACTTGATTCTCGTGGCCTCATGTCTTGCTTTTATGAGGACTTACACATCTCCAATTCTTTTTAAAAATCTGGGAGTCCTCCCACTTTGCAAGCATCCCGAGTGCTTTCTGGATGTGACTCTTCCGTGATCTGGCACTTGGCACAGGAAGTAAAAGCGGGAGACATTTTTACAGGGTCCAGGTGATCAACCAGCGGGGCGTCCAGATCTCTGGAACCAGCTGCCCACTCTGCACCCAAGAGCCACACTCACCACTGTCTGGGCGGAAACGAGAATTCAGGGGAGCACAGAAATCAGAATAGACCCATCCCTGAATGGCCTTGGACTGTGCAGCTCCTGAGGGGCACAGAACCCACACCAGTGAAACATCAGGGAATGGAGGGAGGTGGGAACCTTTGCAGCAAGAGCCGTTTCATCTCAATGTCTTCATCAGCCTGGGCACAGAGGACTGCAGTGGGACGGCCCTGGGTTCTCTGCAGGTTGGCACCGAAGCCAACACATGGGCTCTGGGGGCGAATGCCAAGTGACTTGCTTCAACACTACCCAACACTCTGGAAGTCATCAGCTGGGGGTGGAGGTTTCCATTGTAGAAAACAAACCCACCAGGTTTGCCCAGGTGTTAACTATTCATAGTAGAAACAGGCCATCCAGGCAGTTTCAGGCTGCCTCTGCCATCTGGGGTTCCGGACAGTGAAATGGAGCCAGCAGAGACAGGTGGAGGCTCCCAGAGAGGCAGAATCGACAGGTGAGGGCACCCAGGAAGCCAGAATAACTGGCGGAGGCATCCAGGAAGCCAGAATTAACAGGTGAAGGTGCCCAGGGCCATCTGAAGCACACATACAGCCTCCAAGTCTCACTCGCCCAGTATGGACCAGAAGAGCCACTGGATGGAGCCTGGGGGAGTCTGGGCTTGGGGTCAGGGTCTGCAGGACTGTTCCATCATGGCCCTGCTAGTAAAGAGTCAGCTTTTGAGACTGGAGGTTTCCCCAGGAAAAAAAAAAAAAAAAAAATTTTATTTCAGCCTGATGCAGTGGCCCACGCCTGTAATCCCAGCACTTTGGGAGGTTAAGGGGGCAGGATCTCTTGAGCCCAGGACTTCATGACCAGCCTGAGCAACACAGGGAGACCCTGTCTCTACAGATAGTTTTTTAAATTAGCTGAGGGTGTGGTGGCAGGCACCTTTGGCCCAAGCTACTCGAGAGGCTGAAGTACGAGGATCACTTGCGCCCAGGATGTCGAGGCTGCGGTGAGCTGTGACTATCCACTGCACTCCAGCCTGAGCAACAGAGCAAGACAACCGCCCCCCCCCCCCCCCAAAAAAAAGTTTCTTCCCTCCTAACCTGGGATTTATCTTTTTGGAAGATTCCAAAGTCCCAGCAATGACGTCTAGATACAAGGTTGTGTGATGGTGGGCCAGGGATGCAGGGTGGGGTGAAGAGTTGGCCAGAGGGAGGAGCAAACCCCGACCCTCCGTCCTCACTGCCTCCGGTCTGCCTGCCCTGCAGTGGGGTTGTTAGAATCTGGGTCGGGCTCACACGTGGCCTGGGCCCATTGCCACTCTCTCCAGATGTATCTCCCCAGCTGGCCAGTGGGCTCTCATCCCTGCTGTCCCTCCCCGCACATTGCAAAGGGACAAGGAGCGGGGCCCACGGGGCATGCTGTAGAGAGAAGACCTGGGTACACTGAAGAGGGGGGAGGGGCTGGGCCTCATCAGGAAACCGTCCTGCCCACCCTGTCAGAATGCCTAGAGCCGGAGCCCACTCCAAGACAGCTGGTTTCCCCTGCAGAGGCCTCCCGGTGAAGCAGGTCTTTGCCCTGCTCCTGGGCCCCCCGGGGAGAGGAAGACTGGCCCACCTGCAGGAAGGGAGAGGCTGGGAGGCCGATTACAGCCTGGCACCCATGGAATGGCCAGAAACATGGGTCTGGCTGAGCACTGCAGGCCAGGATCCCTGGCTCTGACACTCCCCAGCTGGTGACGGAAGGTTGCTGTGCCTCTCCAGGCCTCTGTTCCTTCATCTGCAAAATGGGGAGGGCGTGAGGACGCAGCGAGTTTCAAACAGTCTGTGTGGCTCACATACAGTGTTGAGGAAAAGCAGCCCATCCGTATGATCATCCCCAGTCCAAATGCCTTTTCCTCCTCGACCTGCTCCCAGGCTACCCTCCCGGACGGCCGCTCTGGGGGACGGTGAGGACGGGAGGAAAGTGAGAGCAGGACTCAGCACTGGGAAGAGGGAGCCGGAGGGGTCCTTTGGCAGGCAGTGGGGCGAGGTTATGGGCAGAGGCCAAGTGCCTTTCCTGCAGCCTCTGGCCACCTTCAGCTCGGATGGTGGGGCGGTGCCGAGTCTGACTCCGGAAACCCTCATCCCAGCTGTGCGCAAGCGGGTAGATCCACTTTCCCTCTCCAATTCTCTTCTGGGAGGTGGGCACCCCAGGCTTCGGGGGATGACGCCCAGGGTGAGGGTTGCTCAGGGGCAGGCTGAGGAGGACAATTAGGGAAGAATCGTAGCAGAGCCCCAGGCAGAAGAGTCAGGAAGGAGCAGACCCTGGTGTTCTGAACCCCGCACTTGTAGGGGCAGTGTGGGCTGGGGCCCGGCCCGGGGAGGCGCCCTGGGAGTGTTCCCAAGAGCTCCACCGGTGTCGCTGGGGTTCCCAGGCATAGGTTTTGGTGGGGAAAGGGTCGGGGAAGGCAGTGACTAGGTCTCTGTGCTTTTGTTTTAGGCTGGAAGCTAAATCCAGTGGTCGGCGCAGTCTATGGGCCTGAATTCTATGCAGGTAAAGGCTGGGGCGGGGCGGAGATGGGATGAGACCAGCCACTTGGTCCGTGGAGTTCTGGGGGCGGGGCATGAGGGGCGGGGCCAGGTGGGCCGTCCCCGCCCTCCCGCCGTGCTGCCTGAGTAGGGCTCCAGGGGCGGGGCTTGGGAAGGGGTGGGGAGGCTAGGTGTTTGGAGCAGAGTTGGGGGCACAGGTGGGCCCCACTGTGCCTCTCACATGTGTCTCGGGCCCCCTTTCCTGCAGTGACAGGGTTCCCCTACCCCACCACCGGCACAGCCGTTGCCTACCGGGGCGCACATCTTCGGGGCCGGGGCCGGGCCGTGTATAATACGTTTCGGGCTGCACCACCCCCACCCCCCATCCCGACTTATGGAGCGTGAGTACCTGGGCCGGGGGAGGCGTGGAGGAAAGGGTGGGAGGGCGGGGAGGAGGGAAATGGGGAGGCCCTGCGCAGTGCGAGGGACTAGGCAGCCTTTCCAGACCTGGGGGGTCGTGGGAGCCCCAGAACTCAGCCCTGCAGCTGCCTCCATTATCGCCACTCCCATCCCCACCACGGCGGGCATCGCCGAGGTCACTGGCATTTAGGGGGACATTCAGAGCCCCAGAACCTTGTCTGCTTTAATGGGGGCGTTGTCCACCCTTGAGGTCAGCGAGGGGCTTCTCTGAGCCCGCTCTGCTCCCATTCCCTGGGGTCCGGTGCCCTCCATCACTAAAGAGGTGGGGGGTGCAGCTACCTGGGGTCGGGTGGGCCATGGGCCCCGGGGTTTGTGGGAGAAAGGAGCTGATCAGCAAGGGTGTTACTCTATTGTTATACCAAAACAGGGCACTGGAGCAAACGCTTGTTAAAATGCCAGTCCCATGGGCGGGGCTGGCACCGTGCCCCCTCCCTCCTCAGCAGACACCGGAGCCGGCCTACCCCACCTCTCCAGCGTTCCCACCACTTTCTTGTCCGTTTGCTTCCAGGGTCGTGTATCAGGATGGATTTTATGGTGCTGAGATTTATGTAAGTGCAGCCCCGCCGGGAGGGAGGGAGGGATCAGGTGTTTTGTGGGTCTCAGTGAGAAGTCGGCGTCTCCTCCCTTACTGCCCGCTCCTCCCATCCCATTCCCCCCGAAGCCAGGAGGGCAAGGGCACCATGTCTGCCCAGAGTGTGGCATCCCTAGGAATCCCAGCACAGCACAGTCTGGTTGTCGGTGCCCATCAAGAGAGCAGCCCTGTGAGCTGAAGGCGTCTTCCCATGGGCAAGGCTTCATATAATGGGGGCAGTGGGACTCTGCCACGTCCCTATAACCAAGCTGCGGTCAGTGAGAGCCCCTAAGGCACCCACAGGACATGCTTCAAGAGGGGCCAGGAGGCAGGGCCCCTGGGTGCCTGTGCTCTGGGGCCTACCCCACTTGATGGGGTCCTGTGGTCTCTCTCTCCCTTCATGGGGCCACACTTGCTGCTTCCTCTGTCTCAGACTCACTGACGACCCCACCCCATGTACCCAGCCACCCTTCGGTCCTGGGCAGTTGCCCACAATTCAGTCACCCGCTCATGTGAGGCCAGGACATCATCTGAGCTCACGTCCTCTTGTGCCTTTTACCTTTGACCCTTCTTGGTGTCCAGGACACTATCCAGAGTCACTGTGCATTCTCCTAGCCCCTCGGCATCCAAGTCAGCCCTCACTGGCCTGGTGGCAGGTCTGTGGGCACCTCTTCTTTGCCAAGGCCTAGCACCCAGCCAGATGAGTCATGGGTACCCACTAGTGTGTGTGGAGTGCACACATAGGTGTGTGAATGAATGAGTGAATGAAAGGAGTGGACAGGCAGACCTGCCTCGCCCCAAACTGTGCCACCTGGCCATTTGCAGTCCTCGGTCCTGCATTAGACCAGAACTAGGTTCCCAGGCCAGGCACCACCTAATCCTTACCCAGCCAAGGCTGGGAGGCTGGAAAGGTTTGCAGTCCCTCCCAGGGCCCCACCCACACAGGGTCTCTCTCTCCCCATGTCTCTCCCCACTCAGCCTTTCCCTGGGGAGCCCCACTAAGTCCTTCTGCTGTCTTTCCTCCCACTTACCCTATAGGGAGGCTACGCAGCCTACAGATACGCTCAGCCCGCTGCAGCGGCAGCAGCCTACAGCGACAGGTGAGGCCAAGGGCCGGTGCTGTTCTGGAGCAGGGTGGGGAGAAGACGGACACCGATTCCTCGGGGGCTGGGCCCAGACAGGCAGGAGGCATAACCCACCCTTCCAGGCCTGGTGGAGCAGGGTCGGGACAGGGGAGCAGGTCTGAGTGTGGCCCTTGAGCCAGTGAGCCCCTGACTTCAGTCACTTCCTGCTTGCCGCATGGGGAGGCTGTGGAACCCCGAGGTGGAGACAGCATCTCTGATTCCCAGTCCCCACCCCCTGCCCCGTGCCCACAGTGGCTTTCTGTCTTGGAGGCAGAGCTTGAGTGCTTCCTCCTGGGGCAGCCTAGCCTAGTGCCTTTCTTTCCCCTTGGACATCTGGCCTGTTGGCAGCTGAGCTCCACTGCTCTGGCCTGGGGACCGCTTGCACCCCCTCCCTCCTGGCAGCCCTGGCTCCATCTCCCTGAAGTGTGGTATACAGGGCACCATGGCCCAGCCCTGCCCTCTAAGGAGCTGAGAGTTCCTGCACAAACTGCTGAAAGTCATGAGGGACACGGTGTCATGTTCTTGGGGGCAGTGTCCCTGGTCCCTCCCCATTGATCCTCCCTCTCTTTTCTTAAAACCCTCCCCAGCACTTACCCGTTCTTTTTGGGGTGGAAGTTTGTTTTCCCTGCAGACGAGCTCCATGAGGATGCCATCCCCCTCCACGTAGCACTGAGTGGAGCACACTCCTCCTGTCAGGGTCAGCACACTGTGGGCATATTGAGAGGGCAGCCTGTTGTGTTCCAGAAGCTTCCTTCCTAACAAGAAGGAAGGGTAGGCCTTACAGGAGGGGAGGGTGCCCATGTAGCCTCTGGGAGGAGGTGAGAGGCCCTTGCCGCCCCTCACCTGCCCCCTCCCCCACCCTCCTCCCACGCTCTTCCCCAGTTACGGCAGAGTCTACGCAGCTGCCGACCCGTACCATCACACCATCGGGCCCGCGGCAACCTACAGCATTGGAACCATGGTAAGGAGCTCGGGCCCGGCCCTGGGTGCCAGTCCTAACAGCTGGGGATGTGTGGCGAGGTCCTTGGGGGAGAGGCCGAGCCCTCTGACCAGTGCCTTGGTCCCGGAGACTTTGGAAGGCCCCTGTCCTGGATGTGAGTTAGGATGAGGGGAGGGCCAGCCCCTCGCGCCCTCTCAGTTGTGGGGAAGCAGGCTGAATGGCTGGTCAGCCCACCGTACCATTTGGTCCTCTGGGGAGCACCCCAGTGTGCCCGATCCGTTTCCCTGAGCTCCATCACTATGATAAAGTCCTGTTGAGGCCCCTCTATTCCCATTTCCACCAGGAAAACCTAAGAAACCAAACCAGGGCCGCCTCTCCTTCCCAGCAGAGGCTCCCAAGGCCCCAGGGCTGTTTCTGCCCACGCCACATCCCCACGGCCCACCCGCGCTGCCGCAGCCCCCTCACATCCGGGAGGGGAGCGTGGGCTACTGGTTGCTTCTCACCAGGCCCTGGCTCCTGGCTTCCTGGGGGGTCCTGGGGTCCTGGGGAAACAGTGCCTGCTCTGCCCCAGTCTCCTCCCTCAGGCTGTGGGGTGGAAGGGGCAGGGCGGGGAGGTGCGCGGCGTTGGCGTGTGTGTGTGTGTGTGTGTGTGTTTGTGTGTGTGTGTGTGTGGCCAGCTGTCGACACGTGCAGCCCAGCTCACTCTGCACCCAGAGCTGCTTCCAGCAGACACCTGCCTCCTGTGCCCACTGGCCCCAGCCCCGGGGTATGAACGCGGGTTTTAGCTAGCTTGGCATCCAGCATCAAAGATGAAAACATCCTGGGGGAGGAAGGAGGGAGGAGGTTCAGAGGCACCATGGATTTTTCCCATCTTCCTTGGTTTTGATGACTCCCTCCAATTTTTGACTTGCCTTTTCAATTTTTAATGAGCCTCAGACACCCCCAGCAGCCTGTGGTGGCTGTGGGCAGCCACAGGGGCAGATCTGGCATGGCCCCACCCGGATGGAGGTGCCATACCCTGGCTCCTGGGCCCTCCGCGCAGCTGCAAGCTAAAAGCTTTCATGAATGCACGGAGGGTTTCCTCTTGTGTTTTCACTTTTTAAGATTTTCTATTTTTCCCCAATTTTTCTTCTCTTGCACTTGCCGTGTTCATCCCTTTTCTGACAAAACTGGGTGGTAGGAGGGTGGGAGGCCCCTTCAGAGCCCTCCCTGACTGGGGGCAGCCCAGGACATGGGAGAGCTGGAGCATCCAGGACCCGCTCTCCCCAGCAGGACAGGGCTGGGCTCCAGGTGGGCCCAGGAGGACCCAGAGACCCCCCCAGGGAGCAAGTCTCTAGTGCTGTGCCCAGCAGACTTGCCTCTCCCAGTGTAGCTGGCTTCAGTGGCCCCAGGCTCTTCAGCCAAGGCCCAGGAACCCGCCAGGAGGTCCCTCAGTGCCCTGAAGATGCCCTGTGTCGCCCTGCTGGGGTGCAAGGAGGTGGGGCCCGAGCTGGGACCCCCTCTGCATAAGGACAGTGAGAGGCCAGGCCTGAGCCCAGAGAAGTGACCCAGAAGCGCTGTTGGCCATGACCCCAGAGCGCCCCCCACACTGGCCTGAGACCACCAAGTCAGAGGCAGGTCCTCGCCCCTCCTGTTGTCATGATAGCCCAACTTCTTCTCCCCAAGGAATATAGAGGGAAAGGAAACGAGACTTAGCTATTTCTCTTTTTGTTTTTCCTTATTTTTTTTTTCTTTTTTGCTTTTTCCCCTCTTCCAAAAGATGGTACTGATTGGCTGTTTTTCATCTTTGATGTTGCAGGCTAGCCTCTGCCGAGGAGGGTACAGCCGCTTCACCCCCTACTAGCAAGAGACCCAGCCCCTAACAGCATTCACACTGACTGTCTATTACACACCAAACCCAACAGCCCAAAACCAGGCACAGCCACCAGAAGACAGTGCACCCCTCCCGGTCAGCGCCACGCACGGCTGGCCCTCTGCGACGCTAAAATCCATAGATTTTTCTCTCCAGCCAGTTGGTCTCCCCACCCCACCTGTGCTGGTGTGTGTGTCTTTGACCCTGGTTTTTCCTGTATGTCTGAAACTGTGATTTCCCATTTTGACTTTGTTGATGTTGTACTACCCGAGCCATTGCAGGTACGGTATGCACACCATGGGGTCCAGGCTGGGCCAGGAGACCAGGCAGCCCCCGACCCGGGAGTAGCGGTAGTGCCCTATGAGGGCAAGAGCCACGTTTCCTGGCCTCCTGGGCTGCACAGAACGACAGAAACGCCCGGCAGGGCCTCGCCCAAAGCCACCCCGCCAGCCCCGTGCCACGGCCCTAGTATCCAGCACCCTGATGTAGGGAGGGAGGGGCTCCGGGCACCCAGTGTGGGTCTCCCCGGCCTGAGGGTGCTCCCGCGGGCTTTCACCCAGCCAACCACAGGAGTAGCCACACCCCTCCTTGCCCCATTCAGCTGAAATTAATGTTTTTAATTAAATTTTATTGATGATATTTCTTGCTGACTAGTCACAAGCATGTCGCGTAGTGTGCAAACTGCCGTGGTCACGCCAGTCTCCGCGACTCCTTAACACGGCTGCAGCAGAAAATGGAAATGTGGAAAGGCGTGTCCTGGCCCCCCCTCAAGGCGCCCCTTAGCACCGCAGGGCCAAGGCCAGGCCAGCCTTGCAGGGGGGTTGTCCTGGAGGCACAGCCTACTTTCCCTGTCCCCAAGCTCCGAAATGTCTTTATTGGGGTATATTCCGGAAGGAGGGGTCCTCAGCAGGAGAGCCGATGAGGGGCAGAATGCACCCTTCCTCAGGCCCTCCCCTGAGCACAGGCCAGTCAGCCCCCTCCCTGCATTCGGGAGACTGCGGGCAGGGCACTGTGGCTGCGGGCCGCTCCTTCCTCAGCCCTGGGACTGGCCAGCCCGGCGCACGGCGCTTCTGGGGAGACACTGGCTGGGACCTCAGTTGAGTAGAGCCCTGGGCAGCTGCTGGCCTGCCTGGGAAAAGCCAGCCAAGACCGGCACAGTCCTTTCCTGGGGCTGGCCTGGGGCACACACATCTGCACCCCCATGACAGGGAAAAGTAGCCTCAGGTTCTGAGTGTGCCATGGCTGGGCTCCTGGGGCTAGAAGGCCAGCTAGAGGATGTGGGTTCCCCACCAGCCAGGGCTGAAGTCCTGCCGCCCACCAGGCCCTTGCCGTGGAGGGCCCGGCTCCCCCACCTCCCGTGGCCAGAGCATCACCCTCTGCTATCTCATCCAGGCCGCCTGGAGGCCTGTGTTGGCCCAGCCTCTCCACTCACTCTGCCCTGCTCAGCTCTGTCTCCTCCTCATGGCCCCAGGTGTCTCTTCCCATCCCGGGCTGCCTGGGCCTCAACCTGGTGTCCACCCACACTCACTCCTGGAAGATCAGGGTCCTGGAAGCTGGGGGGCAGGTGTGGCGGCGCCAGGACTCTAGGCCAGGGGCCCCATGCCACGCGGTCCTGTCGCCCTCACACCTGCCGCGCCTCCCCCCTGGGAAGCTGCAAGTCCTGCCTTTCTGTTTCTGTTGTAGTGAAACCTTCCACCGTTTCCTTCTCGGACCATGAAGGGCAAAAACAAAAAAACAAAAAAAATCACAAAACAAAAAAAACAAAAAAAGATGTTAAGATCCAAGCAACAACAACAAAAAAAACCAACCAAACCAAGAGGCATCCAACCAAGTCCAAGTCCCGCGTCCTGGCCACACGCCCGCACCGAGGGAGCACGCCGGCAGGGGCGCCGAGGAGCGGCCCCGGGACTGGACGGCCCCACCGCGTCCTGGCTGGCAGCGCAGTGGGAACACGCCCCTCCGTCTCAGGCAGTGGGGGAGTTGGAGGGGAAGGGGCCTCCCTTGCGGGGCCCGTGGGGGGCTCTGTTTTCCATCCAGTCTTCCTTTCCCAGCCCCCAACTCCCAAGGCAGTGTGGAGCCCAGCGGCGGCAGAGCAGGCCCGGGGCCTGAGCAGGGAGGTGCTGCTAGCAAGACTTGATCTTTGTGGCCAGCTGTGCCGGGGGGCCGGCGGGGCTGGGGGGTGCGGGCAGCTTTCATCCCAGGGGCTCCACTGGGCCCCATCACCCTCGTGTCGTGTCCCCTGCGTCCCACCTCCCTCATGCCCGGCAGTCCCGCCCGTGCCCCCAGCCTGGCGAGGAAGCCGTCCAACAGTAGCCCCGGGACCAACTCCTGACAGGAAGGGCTGATGTGGCTCCAGGACTCAGGGGCGCTCCATGGGAGGACGAAGGAAGTCCAGCCAGCCAGGAGCCACTCCTCACACCTCCGAGTGTGGCCAAGTGGGCCCTGAGGCCAAGGACTTGCTCTTCCTGGCCACCTCTCCCTTTCTGGAGGTGGCCTGGGGCCTGTGCACACCAAGGCTGACCTCGTGCTGCCTGCTGGGACCCAGCCCTCCCTGCCGCTCCCCTGCGAGCCCAGTCCACTGTGGGCGGCCAGGGACGGGCCAGTGCCCAGCTGCGCCTCAAGGTTGGGAGTCTCAGTGGCTGTGGGCCTGGACCGGCACAGCCAGAGCAGAGGCCCATGGGAAGGGCAAGGGATGGGGAAGCCTGGGCCGGCCCTTTCGCTGCTCCCAAGGCAGGTGTCCAGGTGGCAGGAGCAGCCAAGCTCACCTGGTGGGAGAAGCAGAGCAGGTGGCAGGGAGGAGCTCCTGGCAAGGCAGGGAGCACTGAAGTAGGGAAGCAGCAAAAAATACAGGCTCCCGATGTGACTCCACTGTCTCATGAAACGTCAAAAATTTAAAAATACACCTCACTTTCTATTCAGCATCAGCTACTGAAGCTATCGAAATGGAATTCTCCTTTTCTATTCCCGTTGTACATAGCCCCACGCCCTGCCTCTGGCTTTGTCCTCTGTACAGAGCCCCCTGTCCCCTCTGCTGTTCCGGACCCTTTTCTTGCAGCAGCTCAACCCCCTGACTCAGATCCCCAGGACTGCAGCCGAGCCCCGGGCTTCCTTTCTTACCATTCTGTATGCTTCCAAGGTGTGACCATTCCAACTAACAGTATTATTAAGATGATTAATAAAGATTTCTTTCTTCAAACCAGGACAACTCTGTATGCTGTGGCAGCTCCCGGGCATGGTGGGTGGAGGGCATAGCAGCCCAGGCTGCAGGATCGGGGCCAGGATGGGATGCAGCCCTGCCTTGGCCTGGAGCCAGGTGGCAGTGGCGTCAGAAGGCCCTTCTAGGCAAAAGACTCCAGTCTCAATCCTAGAGTCCAGGCTGGTCCTCTGCACCCTGCCCCAGGACGGGCTGGGTGGGTGGCAGCTCATGGCAGATCTGGGCTGCCTGGCCTGCCTCTCGGACTCAGGTCGAGGCCAGCCCTGGTCCCTTCTTTCCTGGTTACAGTGTGCGCTGGACACAGCGTGACCTCAGAGCAGAATGCACCCCAGGAGGCAGAAGGGTTACACCTGGTGACCACACAGCTATGCTTGGTCAACCCAATGCAAGAAACAGCACGGAGCTGGGAGGGTGGGGGGACATGGCACAGAGGCAAACATGGCTGGTGCTCCAGCCAGTTCTGCACCCCTGGTGTAGCCCGAGCTGGGGCCCATGAGGAGCCATGTTGCTTCAAGGTAAACCCACTTCGCCAGCCTGTCACCCCTCCTGGAAGGTGGCCAGGAGCTAGAACACAGCTGCAAAGGGTCAGCTGAGGAGGGGACGGGAAGGCAAGTGGCAGAACCTGAACCCAGAGCTCAGAAAGCCTGGGGCTGGAGCCAGGGCTGTACAGGGAGCCAGCATCCAGCGCTGGGCTGGTGCTGCCTGTGCTCCACCACACCAGGACTCGACTGCACTTTTCACAATGTCAGACCATTTATTTCAGAGCAGTTACACCCAGCAGAGGGGCACAGGCCTAAACGCTGGCATATTAATTTTCCCGCACGCGAGCCCTGCATGGCGGTGGGGCTGGGGAGCCGGGGCGGTGCAATTCTGCCACACGCTACGCTCTGCTAGGCCCCCTTCCTCCTAATTGCCTGCTCACCAGACTGTGAGAAAATAATTGCCACTATAAATTTTCCCTCCTCTATATAAAATATTCGGGGGAGCCAACACTTAAAAAATAGACTTCATCAAAGACGAGCAGCAAGGCATGGATGCTACGCCCCCCACAACCCTCGCTGCAGAGGACACGGGCCAGGAGCCCCTTCCTGGTTCCCCCTAGTTCCAAATGAGAGAGAGAGGCTTAAAGAGCGCCCGGGAATGGTCACAGCTGAAAAACGTCGAGTGAGCGGCTCCACGCGGCAGCAGCTTGTGTTCACCTGCCCTCCACCCAGGACAGTCCCCGGGGTGGCTCCAGGCTGCAGGGGGGTCAGCAGAGGACGCCTCCTGCCCCATATCCTTGGCAAACTCACGTGAGACAGGGAAGAATGTTCCTAATTAGGCAAGAGCATAGAACCCTAATCCCAGGACTCTCTACTTGGCACAAGTACCCAGGCAGGCAGGGAAGATGGAGAAAGGTGGATTTCAGCCCCTGGAAGGAGCCCCGGCTCAGAGCGGCTGCTGAGCACCCAGCCTTGCCCTCCTCCGGACATGGGAACGGGTGTGGCTGTGCTGCCACCTGGTGGCCTCTTCCCTCACTGCAGGGTGAAATGATGTGGATGCCAGCCCTTAGGTGTGGGCTCCAGCTGGGGTCACAGAGTATCCCAGCCCTCAGCGCTGCCCAACACCAAGGGAACCCCCACCACTGGCCCTATGTGGCCTGGGGGTGAGAGACCTCCCAAAAGCAAGGGACTTCAGGCCATTGACACCGTGGAAGGACCACAACAGACCCCACCTAGACCAGCCGCAGTATGACCCAAGGCCGTGGGGTCCAGACACCACACCAGGAAGCCTCCCAGGCGGCCCAGGTGTAACAGGGGCTGTGCAGCTGCAGAGGCCTGGGCAGAGGGGAGGCGGCGACAAGAAGAAAGAGCAGGAAGGACAGAAGAAGGGGCCTGTGGTGAAGACCCTGCCTCCCTCAATCCCCCACGCACCTGTGCTGACTCCTGCTCAAGGGGTAAGCCTGGAGGTCTCCCCGGTGCTTGGACGAGGCTGAGAAGGGAGGACGTGAAGGAACCAAGTAGCTGGAAAAGCCCCCACGGGTCCTGCAGCTCCTGCATGCAGGCTGGGGCTGGGCTGGCGTGGGGGGCAGGTGCTGCTTCCTGCCTGGACTGACCCGCTACCCGAGCCTGAAGGGCAGCTTGTCCAGAGCCCACAGCCTCTTGCTGGGCAGAGGCAGGGCCACAGTGCAGACTGCCCCAGAGCCACTTCCCTGCAGCCCACAGCCCGGAAGCAGCGTAGCAGAGCCAGGGGCTGCTGAAAACGCTCCGGAGATGACCTCACAGGCAGCAGCGCGGTAAATTGCCAACACCAGGAAACACGCAGCAGCTGGGGCTGGCCACGTGGAGGCACGAAGCCGGCGCCGGCTGGCCCGGAATGCCCAATCCTCAGGGAAAAGGGCCTCTCCCACCACGAGGAGGGTTCTCCGGGGCATCCTCTCCCGCCATCCCGCAGGCAGCCCCACCCCAGGAGCGGCTGTAGCTCGTCCGCATCCTCAGAAACGTCTTGGGGCCTGCTCCAAAGCCTACCTGCCACAATCTAAGAGCCTTTCTAATAGTTTCATCTGCAGGAAAGAAAATGTCATTCTCAGCATCAGCGTCTTGCAGCCTATTAGGAAATACTCTTTATAGAATTTTCTCAACTTCTTCCCCTCCTTTCATTTTCACCTGGGAACCATGTACCGTGGGGAGAGACAAGGCAGAAACAGAGGGCCCGCCACTCGCCTCGTAGTAACCAACACTGCGATCCCACTGCTTGGTTTCCTGTTTCCACCGCCCCCGGCCAGAAAACCACAGCATTCAGCCAGGGGTCTTTCCCCAGCCCCGGGACCGGGGTCTCGCCGCCACTGCCGGCACGTAGCAAGTCCAGCGCAGGCCAGGAGCAGAGAGCCGGGAAGAGGCCTCAGCCGGAGGCCAGGAGACCACCTGGCTTTAGCATCCACTCATGCGGGGCCTGAATAAAGCAGAGCCGCCCTGCCCCACTCGGCCTGAGGTACCCGGAACCCTTCCTTCGGGACAGGCTCCACCAGAAACTCCACGCGACGATCCTGACCGGGCCCGGCGGCTTCCACCAGCAGGTCCACTATCCGGTACTGGGTGGCAAAAGCCAACCCCAGGAACGTGGGCATCTCTGGCCTCGGCAGCTCCCTGCCCGGAGAGTCATCACTCGTCCCTCCCCAGTAGTGGATTCGGAAGCAACGAACTTGTGAGAGGAGGAAGGACCAGTGCAGGGTGCAGCTGAGCTGGAGCAGAGCAGGGGGCCCCTCCCGCTCAGAGGCGGCCGGCTGCCAGCGGACCTGAGAGATGGTGACAGTCTCCACCTGGGGCAGAGGGGCCAGCAGGCTGGCAGCGTCCACCACCTGGCAGGAGAGAAGGCTCAGCACGGTTGGACACCCAGGGGCAGGGAGAGGGCGCCCCCACCCACACATTTCCCCTCCCTGACTCCTCCACCCCAGTTCCCCACAGAACCTGAGAAGGGAGCGGCCTGGGGTAGCCTCCACCCCCACTCTAGCTGGACAAACGGCCAGCCCAGCCTGAGCCCCTCTGGGAAGCATTACCTGGATCTCTCCAAGCCGACAGGTGAAGCTCTCCTCCTCCCGACTACCTGGCGGCCGTGAGAAGCAAACGAGGAGGTCTAGCAGCAGGCACCCACGCAGGCTCACCTCGTAGCAGCTGCGGGCAAAAGGGCTGATCACAGGCCGGGTTCAGCCCAGCGGCTCTGGGGTGAGCCGTCCAGAGGCCCCAAGCCACAGCAGAAGGGAGATCCGTCCCAGGGTCGGTGGGGACCCCAGGCCGACCGCAGGGCTCCCAGCAGCTGTCCTGGGCTTCCGTCTCAGAGCTGCCCAAAACCTGAAGACCAGCCCAGGGCCCCTCCATCCCTCCAGCTCTGGGGTTTCCCAACAGAGACTTGAGTGGGGAGAGGGACGTGAGGAAGGAGAGGGACTTACTGCTGGACCCAGCCCCTGCTCAGCTGCCGGCCGCAGCGGCCCACCCATCTGGCCAGCTTCGTAGGGGGCACCCGGAGGGGTCGGAGGCTGTGTCTTGAGCTTGTTTCTGCTGGAGAAAGACATGGGACTTGCAAAGGGAGAATCTCAAAGGAAAAGGCACTGAGAAGGACCGCCAAGGGAGCCCCAGGAGTGCAGAGAAGACCGCCCGGTTAGGCCAGAGGCTCACAGGTCCGGAGAAGCTACCAGGAAGGGCTCCAGAGGAGCTCGGTGAATGAAACGCATGTCTGGGCTCAGCCACGCTCTCACTCATCCTGGCATCTTCCAGCCTGCTGTCTCCCCCACCCCGTTTACTCGACCCTCTCCTCGCCATGGTCAGCAGCAAGCCTGTGTGCAGCTCAGGTCTCTGGAAGGGGCCCATGTCCACCCTGCACAGGAGCCTCAGCTGCCGACGAGGCCACAGGGCAGAGGGTGTGGCTGAGAAGTGAATCCTCCCTGTCCAGGCCTCAACCACAAGCTGCCCTGACTCCAGCAAAGGCGGGATTTACCCTCCACTGTCCACACCAGCTCCTCCCCACACCCCAGGAGCCTCTCCACACTTCTCTCCCCTGAGCTCTCCCCGCCGGGCAGAGGCAGGCCTAGGCCCCACTGCCTCACCGTTCAACACTGAGATGCCACCGATGTGGCAGCTGCTGGCATCCCCTGTGGTTAGCTCTAAAGCAACCGTGACGTCCGTGGGCCCCTCAAGCTTATACACCATGGACAGGAAAATCTTGGGTGGCACTGGGGCCTGCAGGGAAAATAACCTGGGGAGAAAGGTCCTGTGGTGAGTGCCATGGAGAGACCACTGAGAAATCGAAGCCAGCTCCAAATTGCGTCCGCCAGCCCCTCCCTCGAGGAACAGAGGACCTGGGTGCCAAACACTCCCACATCATGCTCCTGTCCGTGGCCAGGGGACAAGCCCTACCCCAAGGCCAGATTCTTTTGTGGGTTGAAAGATCTCAGTTCTGAAATACCATATGGGATTCCCTCATATGGGGCATCTAAAGTATCCAAACTCACAAATGCAGAGTAAAGGGGTGGCTTTCGGGGGCTGGGGGAGGATGGGGGGCTAATGTGCAATGGGGAGAGTCCAGTCCTACAAGATGACACAGTTCTAGGGATCTGTCACATAGCAACGTACGCAGAATAACACTCCCGTACTGTTCACTTAAACATGGTCAAGATGGTAAATTTCAAGTTAATGCATTTTTTACCACAATTTTAAAAAACCAATCTGGGTCTGTCCTCTGTCCTTGTTCTGGCCTCCACTGCCCCATCTGTCCAGTTCCACGGCCACCACATGTGATGGGAGAAGCTGGTGGACCCACCATCCCCCATCACTCACCCACCTCACGGCCACATTTCCAACCTCCGGTGGGATCACACCCCGGACGAGCAGGGAGCTGCCTCCGTGCCAGGCATCCTCCAGGCAGCAGTGCGTCCTCACCCAGCCCCGGCCATCCCCTCCCAGCCTGTGTTCTCCAAACAAGGGCTGGATCTCCTGGGCACTCAGGTGGTACCAGGGCCCCACCGCCTCCTCCTGAAAAGGGCAGAACAGGGGCACTCAGCAGAGGCCAACAGAGCAGGTGTGCCCGGAGCGGCAGGGAAGGGCAAGACCACCACCACGCCTGCTGGCAAGTCCCAGGCTCCTCCCACCTGTCCCAGCTGAGGCCAGAGAACAGACACGGAGGGAAGACGCCACCCACCTGGCCATAGCAGACCCTCCGTGCACCCATGCCCAGGCAGAAGGACGTGACGAACGGCAAGGAGCAGATGCTATGTGTGGGCAGATAGCGCTCCAGCCGGCCCCAGAACCTGCCAGAGACATGGGGGCAACAGCTCGGCCCGGAGGAAGGGAGGGAGCCTCTCAGTGTCCCTCAAACTTGCTGGTGGAAACTCAAGGCCATCCTGCACCCTCCAAGACAGGACTTCTGGGAGGACTGCAGCCTCCCTGGCTACGGATATGCTGCAAACACAAGTCTGCGGGAAGCAGTCGCTGGGTTTGGTCCCTGCCTAGAAGCAGCCAGGGTGCTGGTTTCTTCCCCCATCATCCTGCCTTAACCACCCCCCGGCTTAGGAAGGGTCACTAAAGAGCACAAACGTGTCCTGTCAGAGAAACCAGAAACCCTTCCTCCCATCAGCCTGCACTAAGCACCCAGGAGGGCAGGACTCACTTGTCCTGGTTCTGGAAGAAATCCTTCTTCTCCAGACACTCGTACACCCAGCCGGGGGCAAACAGAGCCACGGAAAACCCATGCTTTCGGATCAGCTCCAACGACTGAGGAGACAGAGGGCGACGCTGGGCACATCAGGACCACAGAGTCCAGACAGGCTCCTGGACACCAGTGACGTGGGGTGGGGGCTCTCAGGGCAGCTCGGAAACGGGAGGGGGAAGCTGTCCAACCCCTCCCTCCTAGCTGCACCTGGGGGCTGCTGGGCATCACCCCCATCATTCCACAAGCTGACCAGAAGAGGGCGCCGGAGAGGCGGTCAGCGATGCTGCAAGGGCGGGGGGCAGGAGCTGGGTGCTAACTGGCTGTGGCCGCGCGGTCCCATCGTCCTCTGGCACACCTCATTCGATTATCAGAATCACGGGCAGTAAAGAGACTCTTTAGTTATCGGATTAATTTACTCATTTAAAGCTAAATTAAGGGCTGAGAACATCCCTGGGGCTCTGGGAAGGGGCAGGACTGACAAGCCAGAGGCAGGCAGAGCCCTGTGCATCCCACGCCAGGGGCACCGGCCCAGTCCTGCTCCTTCCTCCGTGCTGGTATGACGCCAAAAAATGCTCCCTTGCCATGACTCCTACCACTTCCCAAACCCTGGGCGCTTCCCCCTTCCTCACCCCTGAGCGGCTGTGAGAGGCACTGCAGGCCCCTCTGCGTCTGCGCAGGCTTCCCTTGGGGGGAAGGTCAAGGAAGGCAGCTGGGACAGGAGGCCTAGGCCCGCCGAAGACCAGACAGCGGAGGAACAGCGCACCTCTGTCTGGTAACACCCACACAAAAATACATTATCCAATTGTAGAAATAGCCAGGAAAGGGGTTTCAGTGGGGACACGGCTTGGCCCGGGCAGGACACCCTGTTTCTCAGTGCCGCGGGGTACCCACTCTGGGAAGAACAGCTGATGTCGTTCCTTTGAGGTGCAGATGGGAATGGAAGGTCCATGAGGAAATGAGGTCTCGGGAGGCACTGGGCCACTGGCCCTTGGGCGAAAACCACCACCCACCTTGTCTGTGTCGAATCGGCCTCCGACCACGTTCCCCCGAGCAAACACGTCCACACCCACGTACACGTCAGCCCGGCGCTCCCCAGCCTGCCCCAGCATCCGCTCCAAGTGCTCCTCCCGCCAGTTATAGTTGGTGAAGAAGCCATCACAGGAATCAAAGAAGACCCTGAGAAGCAACAAGGACCTGCTGTGAGGCCCAGGCCGAGAAGGACGGGGCCATCCCCCGCCAACCCCGCAGCCTCAGCCCCTCCCCTCCTCGTACTCAGAGGGATGGGGCCATCCCCCGCCAACCCCGCAGCCTCAGCCCTTCCCCTCCTAGTACTCAGAGGGACGGGGCCAACCCCGCAGCCTCAGCCCTTCCCCTCCTAGTACTCAGAGGG